GGTTTTCCAGAGTTGAGCACGTCTTCGCGACACTGCCATCGTCCGCCGCCGCCGCCCTTGCCTTTGCCCTCCGACTGTCAACCAGTGCGGCACTCCCGTCACCCCCTCACTTTGGCACACCTCTCACACGTTTAGTGGCCGCATGGGAAGCTACGCTGAAGGTCCCAATGGTTGTGCCCGCATGCCGTCAGCCCCCTCACTTTGGCACACCCCTCACACGTTTCGTGGCCCCACAGGGAGCTCCAGCGAAGGCCCCGGTGGCTGCACCCGCATGCCGCCCCCCCTCACTTTGGTACACCCCTCACACGTTTCGTGGCCCCACAGGGAGCTCCACAGAAGGCTCCAATGGCTGTGCCCGCATGCCGCCACCCCCGTCACTTTGGCACACCCCTCACACGTTTCGTGGTCCCATGGAGAGCTCCACCATGCACCCGCATGCCGCCATACCCGTCACTTTGGGAAACCCTTCGCACGTTTCGTGGCCCCACAGGGAACGCCACGGAAGGCCCCACTGGCTGCGCCCGCATGCTGCCACTCCTTTCATTTTGGCACACCCCTCACACGTTTCGTGGTCGCATGGGGACCTACATTGAAGGCCCCAGTGGCTGCGTTCGCACCCGCCCCCCCCCCCCCCCTACTTTGGTCCCTGAGTTCGGCCCAGGCGGGTGTTTCCAGTTTGTCAGAGGGTCCCCCGCTGGTCGCCGCGCTGGTTGGCGTCGGACGCAATCCTGTCCGCCTGCGGGAGGCGGGCGTCGTGGGCCATCGTGGCGGCGCCCAGGGCGCCGTCGGCGCCAATTTCATCGTCGGAGTAGCCGGGCCAGGGCTGATGCAGACCGCGGAACAAGCTGCGCGGGAGGCCAGGTAGGAGGCGGGCGCGTGGCGCCTCGCTGAGCGTAGCCCCAGGCCGCCTGCCTTGAGGGCGCGCTGCGCCTGCGCCAGGGAGCCGTCCGTGAGGGGGCTGCCGCTCAGCTGCTCGAGGCTGGCCCGCGCTGCTTGGTCGAGCGCGATGGGGGCTTCCGTTCGCGCGCTGGGCGGGGCAACCCGCGCTAAATAACTCAACCTGCAAAAGCCAGCCATTTGTCGCAGCAGGTGGGGCGCGACTTGGGCGTTCTCCAGCGCGCCAAGCGCTTCGAGGAGCTCGGTGGCCTTGTCGACTGGCTGGTGGGCGTGCTCGCGGTAGAAGGCGTCGCTGCCGACTGGCGCGCCCAGCAATTCGAAGCAGCCGTCCGCGCGCAGGCGGAGGCCTCGGGGGATGGCCTGCAGGCTCACCAGTGGCCGCCAGTGGGGGCCACCCGGCACTTCCATGGCCCCGTGCTCAGGCGGAGCGGCTGCCAGCTCTCCCGCCATCAGGTGGGGGGGCGCGCCGCGGCGCGCCAGTCGCCCTCCAGGGTGCCGTCGTCGAGGAAGGAGAAATTCAGGTCCAGGGCGCCCTCGCCGGCAGGGACGGGCTCGGGGAGGGCCCTCTCCGCGGCGCGCTGCGGTGCTGAGGGGGAGAGAACTAGCCCCGGGGGTTCGTCTTGCTGAGCGCCGCACTCCGGGCGGATCGAATGCCGGCCGAGCCAGAGCAGGGAGGGGCCCCGGTAGCGCCAGGAGGCCCAGGGCGCAAGAGCGAGCAACTCCTCGTGCACCGCGTGCAGGAGGGCTTGGCAGTCGAGGGTGTTGAAGGCGTTGCGCTTAGGTCTGGCTTGACAAACATTGTCTGCCTGCTGCCAGCGTGGCGCGCGAACCGCCGTTGGAACGCGTGGGTCGCAACCTTGCAGCCGCCCAGGAGGGCGACGCCGACCTACAAGGGGGCGAGTGGTTCTGGGGCGGTGTCGGACACCTGACTGCGGAAACACTTCGCCACCAGGCGCCGCGCGGTCTCCCCGACAGCCACGGGTCGAAGGCCGCCGTCTTTTTTAGGCAGCGCCACCAGCGAGGCGCCGGCCAGGTTGTCCGCCACTCCCAGGGGGGCGTGGCCCTTGGCGAGGAGGCTGGTCAGACCGATCAGCTATTGTGGCACCTCGCCGCAGTGGGCGGCCGTCTGTAGCGCGTCCTTGAAGTGTTGCGGCCGCGGGCCAGAGGGACCTGGGGCAGACGTTCGATGGAAGGCCCGCACCTCGCGTTCGATCGAAGCGGCGTCCAGCCAAGGGGCCACGGCCGCGTTGACCGCGGGGAGGCTGCCGGGGTCTACGGGCCGCTGGCTGCGCGGGTGCTTCTGCCGCAGCTGCCTCGGCAATGCTGGGGTACCTTCTACCGTTGGTGAGCGCCGCGCAGCTCTTGGCGTACTGCGCGTCCGCCGAGAGCTCCAAGCAGCGCTGCGCTCTCCGGGCCGTGCGGGATCGCTTCGCGGTGCCCCGCTGGTCCGCCGTTTCTGCCCACAGCGAGGCGCGCTCTCCGTCGACGTTGGCAAAGGTTCGTGGTCTGAGCTTCCGCCGCGCTCCTGCTGCCGCGGCCCCCGCGCGTGTGCGGGCGTAGGGCGCACTTGGGCAGCATGGCAAACTGGAGCTGTTTTGGTGCACGGCGACAGCCGCCGCGTGCGCCAAGCAGCTGGCCCAGGAGGACCCGCGCTCCCATGGGCATGTGCTTTGTGTTCGCACGTCGGGAAGAGACCTCCTGCCACAAGGGCAAGCCGCGCGGATGGGGGGCGTCGTCAGCTGCTGGCGCGGCCTCGTCAGCGGCAGCCCAAGCAACGGGATGGCACCACGGGCATACGCGCCCGTAGTGCGAGTGGAGGTAGCGCTGGCAGACCGAGCATTGCGACAAGCTGTGCTCACCCAGATAGGCTTGCGGGACCGGAACGGAAGTCTGCCAGCCGCGTGCTCGTTGATGTGCGGACGCGTAGCCGCGTGTTCTGCCCAACCAGCGCTGGAAGCCAAGTCAGCACGGGGGCAGCCCGGGACAGGGCAGCCGACCCGGGCACGCCGGGCGCGCCGTCGTGGAGGGGCCGGGGCGTCGTCGGCAGGGGCAGGCGGCGGCGGGGCCTGTGCGCCCGGCCCCAGGGCAGCCTCTGGCGGGGCAGCCGCGGGCTGCGCAACAGGAGCCGCAGCAGCGGCGGCTGGAGCGCGCGCCGCCGGCGGAGCCACCGCGGGCGGCGAGTCAGGGGCAGGAGGGTGGGGGGAGGAGGGGGGACGCGACCACAATGCTCTGTTCAAAACGAGAAGCCGACACAGGAGGATTGGGGAACATTCATTTTGCAAGCGTTTCAAGCATTTCGCCGACTTCCTGCCCGCGCGCACCTGGTGAAATCATACATGCGAAAGCCATCTGAGTTTAGCAATCTCGTTCAGCACCCGCATTCTCATCGCACCACGCGGTGCATCTGCGTTGATCTAGCATGCGCCCCTGCAGCGCGTGAGCGGTTGAGGGGGTTTCCTCTTCCAGCCCCCTTCTTTCGCTTCGGGGGGGGTTTGCCACTCCTCCTCCCCCCCCTGGATCGGGGGGGGGGGGGGCGGCGGGTCGTTGGAGCATCCAAAATAGCTCTGGCGAAAACGCAAACATCATTGATGCTACTTAGGCTTTGGACTCATTTTCGCCTCCTGGGGGGGGGGGGGGCGCGCTAATTGAGTACCCCTCTTCTTTCATCGACCTCCTCCGAGGCGATCGTCGCAAGATGGCCCCCAATGCTCCCGAAAGGGCCCCAAGAGGGCCCCAAGAGGCGCCCAGGAGGCCCCAAGAGGCCCGCAAGAGGCCCCCAAGAGGCTCCCAAGAGACCCCCAAGAGGCTCCCCCGAGGCACCTAAGACGCTCCAAGATGCCGCCCCAAAGAACGCCAAGAAGCCCCCACGACGCCCCGAGAGGACCCCAAGAAACTCTCAACACCTGACACGATTCCGACAGGCATCCAAGAGGCCTCTGGTCATTCTGCTCGCCCTCCCCCTCCTCCTCCTCCGCCTGTTCCTCCTCCTCCGCTTGTTCCTCCTCCTCCCTGCTCCCTTTTCCCCCTCCCCCTCCCCCTCCTCCGCCTCCTCCCTCCTCCCTCCTCCCCCTCTTGGGGTATGACGGCTTCCCTTGCACGCTATTCCACTGCATCATCCTCCGCATGCGTGATCAGAGCACGTCGCCGGAGTATCGTATCTGGATGGGCTGATGGGGTTTGCGCGAAGCATTCAACATAATACAATGCGGGTCCCACGCGCGCGCCGCCACGCGCGCTTGTCGGCTTGCTTCCAAGACAGCGGTTGTTCCGACGCATTTCTGAATGCTTGTGAAGAGCTACATCTTGAATCAAGATGTAGCTCTTCACAAGCATCTGACAGACCAAATGTCTTTGAGCCCAGAATTTGCCGATTCATTGGGCTTCTGCACGCGCACTTCCTCACGACCAACCAAGTCAACGCAATCGCACCACCGCCGTCGTCATCATCGTCACTTGCCTCCGTTGCCACTATCATCAACACAATCACCTTCATCACCGACACATGGGCATCATCATCGTCATCGTTGTCACCAGCATCGGCGCTGTCATTGGCCCTGCCATCATCGTCGTCATCATCGCCACCACCATCGCTACTATCATCATCGTTGCCGCCGTTGTCGACGTCATCATGATATCGCGCCCGCCCGAATCACCGACTCGCACTGGAGCACCCGCGCGCCAGCGCAGCCTTGGTGACGCGCTGGGAAGTTCCCCTCGGTAAGAGCCATTGCGGCCGAGTCAGTTGTGCCAAACCAGCTGGTCGTTCTGCGCGTGAGCTTGTCTGCGCTGGCGGCTGGCGCGACCGCAGAGATGCGCCAGCCAATGTCAAACAGTCTCCGCAATCGCGGCCCTACGGAGTTTTGCGAAGCAAGTTGCGGGTGGGAGGGTGGGATATTTACGCGAGCAGTGGAGCTGACATTTCATTTTCGATACACTTGCTTAATTGCACTACCAAGCTTGCACCGCATAGTGAGGCTTCACATTCAGAGTGCGCGAACTCACTGTTTGGGGTCCGCGCTTACTCTTCGATGTGCAGTAACACGAGCCTGTCCAGGACTGACGTGGTCGGGATCGGTGTCGGCGTGCAGTTGGCACCTCCGATCCTGGTACATCCTCTCCAGCCTCGAGAAGTTTTTCTTCTCCTTCTTGTTCTTGTCCTCCTCCTCCTTCTTCCTCTTGGCCCGGTCCTTCGGAGGAGCAGCATGTGCATGAGCATACTCTTCCAAACGTCCGCGTGGCCTTCTCGAGTCGGCGCCGGACTCCCCTTCCCACTCTCCTTCTCTGACACGCGGGGCGCGCCAGGGGCTGCGCCAGAGGCGCCGCCCAGGGGGTCTGACGCCGATCGAAAGATTCTGCGCGGACGGAGCTCCACGTTAGGAGGCAACTGCTGGGAGGTTTTCGTCGGAAGGATTAAGGAGGATTAAGCTCAATTTGGGGGCTGTTGCGCAGAATGGGCCTCGTATCAAGCGGGATTAAGCCGGATTAAGCGGGATGAAGCGGGATTGCGCCGGATTCAGCGGGATTTCGGACCAGGGCTGAATCAGAATCTGACCTCTCAGGAGTTGCATCCGAGGAGGAGGAGGAGGAGGAGGAGGAGGAGGAGGAGGAGGAGGAGGAGGAGGAGGAGGAGGAGGAGGAGGAGGAGGGGAGGAGGAGGAGGAGGAGGAGGAGGGGAGGAGGAGGGAGGAGGAGGATGAGGGGGAGGAGGAGGAGGAGGAGGAGGAGGAGGAGGAGGAGGCGGAGGAGGAGGAGGAGAGGAGAGGAGGAGGAGGAGGAAGGAGGAGGAGGGCGGAGGAGGAGGAGGAGGAGGAGGAGGAGGAGGAGGAGGAGGAGGAGGAGGAGGAGGAGGAGGACGGAGGAGGAGGAGGAGGATGAGGAGGAGGAGGATGAGGAGGAGGAGGAGGAGGAGCAGGAGGAGGAGGACGGAGCTCCATGCTCGTGCCGTTCTGTGAGCCTCCGGTCCTTGGCGGCGCGCGCCGCCTTCCGCAACCGGCCGACGCGCGCCTCCAGCAGCTCCAGGCGGGCCTTCACCTCGGACGCCTCCCGGACCGCGTCGACCTCCTCGCGTGGCCCCAGGATTAGGTCGGGCCCGTCCCCCCTGCAGGGGGGGGCTTGGGCGAAGAATTAGACATGGTCAAACATATTTCCAAACATGCTCAAAAATGGTCCACAGAATCGTCCCCGGACTACTTTTGGACTATTTTTGAATATACCCCCCTGTACAGGGACAGGCCCGACTGAAACCCAAGAGTGTACGCCACCGCCACGTCGAGTCCTCCTCCCTCCGCTGCCCTCCTGTTCCTTTCTCCTCTCCGGGGCGAGCGAGGGGGTGGTGAGCCTTTTGTGTTCGGCGTTTCGGCATTGGGCGGAAGGGGGGGGGGGGGAATGGAGGGGTGGGGGGGTCTGGCTCCGGACCTCTGCTTGGTGCGGCTGTTTGCAGCGGTGCGTCCTACGGGGGAGGGCCCCCGCCTGCTCGAAACAGGCGCCAAACAACAGCCAAGGTCTACACCCTGCGAAATGCTTAAGAAATCATGGGTTCAGAAATTCAGAATCTCAGAATTTGATATAAAAACTGAAATTCTCTTAAAATCTTAAAATTTACATGGAAACAACAAGCATAGTCGAGACTCTGGCCGAAAACGTAAGTTTTCTTGAGCATCGCCCAGAGTGTACTCCAGGGGGGCGGGGCGAGGGGGGGTTTTGGGGCCCGCGCCGATCGGCAAAACAGTGCACAACAAAAGCGACCACGTGGTGGCGTAGCTATACGTCTGGGCCCCCGTGCTCCTCGACCTCCAGCGCCCGCTGGCCGGAGTCCTCGCCGAGGAGCGCCAGGGCCTCGTCCAGCTGGGCCCGTGCCGGGCCCAGCGCCGCGCACCCGGAGGCCAGGCAGGCCTGAGGCGCGGCGGCGGCACGGAAGGGGCCCGGGAGCATGCCAAGGAAGAGGCACAGATCCCAGGTGACCCCTTTTTTTTGTCCTGTCTTCAAGATGGTCGTCCTCCCCTCCGCTTCCCATCTCGTCCCATTTTCCTCTGAGTCGACGTTCATTCATCTGTGTGTGTGTGTGTGTGTGTGTGGGTGTGTGGTCTCCCCCTCCTGAGATTCGCAAGTGCGAGCGAGAATGTTTTCTGCAACGAGATCGTCTGAAAGTTCGCTCGTCTCGTGAGTTTCGACCCGAACGCCAACGAAGCGGTGCACAGGAACCCTGCCTGTCCGTGAGCAAGATCAAGGGGGGGAAGAGGGTCGGAGGAACGGGAAGAGTGCCCCAGCAAGCGAAAGCCGCAGACGCGAGCGAGAATAGCTGTGAGGTGTCGGTGGTGTTCGGGGACGACCGCGGGGCGCCCGAGGGTTTAGGCTTAAATCGGGCCTGTCCCCCTACAGGGGGATTTTCGACGAAAAATAAAAAACATACCTCCAAAAAGGTAAAAAAAACAATCCAAACATTGTCTGGGGATTATGTTTGGAGAACTTGTTTGACGTTTTTGGTGTATTTTTGGGGTATTTCTTATTTTTCGTCGAAAATCCCCCTGTAGGGGGACACGCCTGACTTAAGTTTAGGGCCCATCAGGGTCTCCAAGCCGAAATCAGCGCATTCTCCCCGGAACTCATAGTATGGCGGGCATCGGCAGATACTTTCGACCAGCGCGCCAAGCAGAAACCAAATCGCGCAGGAGGAGTAAACATTGCCGCGGGGACCTTTCCCGCCCGAGGCGACCCCACGACTCCTTCCCTGCAGCCCAATTCTGTTCTGTCCCGCTGCTATGAAAACATACACTGCCGACTATACACTGCTCTGCACAACTTTCGAAAACATGCGACCAAGGCTCAACGCAATGCGCGAAAGCAGCAGCAGCGGCAGGGAGAGGAAGCAGACGGCGAAGAGAGACGGAGAGAGGAACATGGAAAACGAGCAAGAGAGCAGGCGTAACAAAAAATCCTGGATGGGACCCCCCTGGATGCGTAAAAAACGTTCCTGGAGACCCCCTCGGCAGCTATGAAAGCATGGTGAGATAAGTCGAACTTGTTCCCAGTGGTCCTCGGCCCGACCCGCTGGCCACCCAGAAGGCCGCACAAAGCGCCGAAAAGTGTACAACGCCCAAGACTGTGTAAGATGGCCTACAGGATGGCTCTAGATGGCATTCAAGATGCTTCCCAAACGGCCAAGACTGCCCAAGATGGCCCAGAGAGGATCGAAAAGGCTCCCTTGGGGATCTCTTCGGCCGCCTTGGGGGCCCTCGGGGGCGGCCCAAGAGGTCAAAACCATTGAACATCAGTCTTCTACACTAACAAAGCTGTTCAAATTCTCTCCTTTCTGGTCTCCAGCGCGTCCAAGACGGCCCCAAGACCAGCCCAAGACGGGCCACGTAAGCTCCGAGAGGGCCCCAAGACGGCCCAAGAGGGCCTCAAGACGGCCCAAGAGAGCCGCAAGACGGCATCAAATGACTTCGAGAGGGCCCCGAGACTGCCCAGATATGCTCTCAATACAGCCTCCGAAGGCGCCAGCCCAAGAGTATCTAAGACGCCCCCTATAGAGACCCAAGGTGGCCCCAGAGACCAGAAACACTATCCTGGTGAAGGACCCAACCCGTAGCAGCGTCATGCCACTTTGCTGTTGAGCCTCCGTTTGGGGCCTGCCGAAGGGGCGCGATCCAAGTGAGGGGTGTTCCGAAATGGGAGGCGGGCGCGCCACGTGGGCGCGCCCGCTGGGGCTGCAGGCTGAGCTCCCTGTGGGCCACGACCAGTTTGAGTTGTGTGCCAGAATGGAAGGCGCGTGCTGCCATGCGGGCGCCGCCGCTCGGGCCGTAGGTGGCACTCCCTGTGGGGCACGATGCGCCTGAGGAGTGTGCTGAAATGGGAGGCGGGTGCGCCATGAGTGCACAGCCACTGGGACTGCAAGTGGAGCTCCCTGTGGGGCACGAACCGTGTGAGGAGTGCGCCGACATGGGAGGCGGTTACATCATACAGGCGCGGCTACTGGGGCCGTATATGGAGCTGCCTGTGGGGCACGTTTCTTGGCATGGTGTGCCGAAATCGGCGCGGTCCCGCCGTGAATGCGCGGCTACTCGGGTCGTGGGTGGAGCTCCTTATAGCGACACGACGCGTGGTGTGTGTGTGTGTGTGCCGGAGTTAGCACGGTGCTGCCATACGGGCGCGGCCACTGGGGCCGTGGGTGGAATTCCCTGTGGGGGAGGAAACGTGTGCGGAATGTGCCAGAATGGGCGCGGTGCTGCTATTCGCGCGCGCCCAATCAGGCCATCGGTGGAGCGCCCTACGGGGCAAGAAACGTGTGAGAGGTGTGCGGGAAGCAAAAGCGGTACTGCCATGCGGGCGCGCCCACTGGGGCCGTAGGGCGAGCTCCCCGTGGGGCAGGACACATGTGACGCGTGTGCCGAAATGGGCGCGGTGACGCCATGCGTACCCACAGGGGCTTCATAGGAGCTCGCTGTGAGGCAGGCCACGTGTGAGGGGGGTGTGCCGATATGGGCGCGGTGCCGCCACGCGGGCACTGAGGCCGTAGGTGGAGCTTCCCATGGGGCCGGCGGGACGCGTGTGAGGGGTATGCCGAAATGGGTGCGGTGCCGCCATGCGGGCGCGGCGACGGAGCTCCGTATGAGCCACCTGACGTGTGAGGGGAGTGTCTGAATGCGTGCGCGGCCACTGGCGCTCCCCATGGGGACATGACACGTGTGAGGGGTGTGTCGACATGGGCACTGCGCCGCCGTGCGGGCGAGGCCCCTGGCGCTGCAAGTGGAGCCCTCAACTGGGCAAGCAACGCGTGAATGGGGTGTGCCGCAATGAGCGCGGTGCCACCATGCCAGCGCGGCTAAAGGTGTTGTCGGTATAGCTTCCTATGGGGCAAGACAGCCGCTGATGCCAGTACGGGGAGCCTGTATTGGCCACGAAGCGTGTGACCGGTGTGCCGACGTGGGCATGCGGAGAGCAGAATCAGGGAGAGGAACAGAAGGAGGAGGAGGAGGAGGAGGAGGAGGAGGAGAGGAGGAGGAGGGAGAGGAGGAGAGGAGGAGGAGGAGGAGGAGAAGAGGAGGAGGAAGAGGAGGAGGAGGAGGAGGAGGAGGGAGAGAGGGAGGAGGAGGAGGAGGAGGAGGAGGAGGAGGAGGGGAGGAGGAGGAGGAGCAGGAGGAGGAGGAGGAGGAGGAGGAGGAGGAGGAGGAGGAGGAGGAAGGCGAGGAGGAGGAGGAGGAGGAGGAGGAGGAGGAGGAGGAGGGGGAGGCTGGAGGTGAGGTGTGGGATGCGCGGCGCTGCGGTCTCGAAACGAGGACCCAACTTTACAGGAGGGTTGGGAGTGGCCCCGCTACAGCCTGAAGACGGCCCCAGAGGGCCTCTCCCCAATGCTCCCCCAGTGGTTTCTCCAACAGCGGGGGGACACACACAGTCCATTAGCATGGCCGCGCCTTCGTTCGACACAAGCGTTTCCACAGGGTAGGGGGCGTCGGTGACTCGCCGCGGGTGTCTTCCACTGTAAGTAGAGCACGTCCCACGCAAGAATAAACATCACCGCGCAACGCAAGCTGATCCTAAACAGGTTCTCCATGCGACAGAAACGAGGAGCCTCGATGACTCGGTGGCATCGGATTTCTGCACACCAGCGTGTGCACAACTGGCCTGGTCAAGGGTCCACGACTCCACCCAGATATGATTCATGGTGCAGGCTGCTCCCTTCTCAATGCCAAGTCAAATCATGGATGCTGCAAGACGCCAAGTGCGGGGGGAACGTGAGTGGGGCTACGAGCACTATGGCGCGGCCCATCTGGCGTGAAAGCGATGCGCAATCATTCGGCCATTATCCTGGCGAAGGACCCAACCATATGCCATTGTGAATGCTGCAACTTTGGTGGAGCTCCCTCTGGGGCCACGAAACGTGTGAGGGGTGTGCCGAATGGGGTGCGGGGCCGCCATGCAGACCCTGCCGCTGGGGCCTTCGGTGGAGCTCCCTATGGGGCAACGAAACGTGTGAAAGGTGCGCCAGATCGGGTGCGAGGCCGCCAGGCGGACTCTCCCTATAGAGCCACGTAGCGTGTGACGGGGCTGCCGAAATCGGGCGCGGGGCCGCCATTCGGACCCTGCCGCTGGGGTCTTCGGTGGAGCTCCCTATAGAGCCACGAAGCGTGTGAAGGGTCTGCCGAAGTGGGTGCGGGGCCGCCATTCGGACCTTGCCGCTGGGGCCCTCGCTGGAACTCCCTACACATGGGGCCGCGAAACGTGTGAGGGGTGTGCCGACATGGGTGCGGGGCCGCCACGCGGACCCTGCCGCTGGGTTCTTCGGTGGAGCTCCCAATGGGGCCACGAAGCGTGTGAGGGGTGTGCCGAATCGGATGCGGGGCCGCCGTGCGGACCCTGCCGCTGGGGCCTTCGGTGGAGCTCCCTCGGGGCTACGAAACGTGTGAGGTGTGTGTGTGTGTGTGTGTGTGTGTGTGTGTGTGTGTGTTGTGTGTGTGTGTGTGTGTGTGTTTGTGTGTGTGTGTGTGTGTGTGCCGAAATCTGCATGGGGCCTCCCTGCGGACCCTGCCGCTGGGGCCTGCGGTGGAGCTCTTTGTGGGGCCACGAAACGTGAGGGATGTGCCAGAATGGGGCACGGGGGTGGAAGGAGGAGGAAGAGGAGGAGGAGGAGAAGGAGGAGGAGGAGGAGGAGGAGGAAGAGGAGGAGGAGGAGGCGGAAAAGGAGGAGGAAGAGGAGGAAGAGGAGTACACGGATGAAGAGGAGGGGAAGGAAGCGGGAGGAAAGAGGCGGGAGGAGAACGCGGGGCGCTGTCTCTTCAAAACGAGGACCCAACATCTCAGGATGGGTGGAGCTTCCTGTGGGGCCATGGAACGCGCAGAGCTCCCCATGTGACCACGACGCGTGGGATGTGTGTGTGTGTGTGTGTGTGTGTGTGTGTGTGTGTGTGTGTGTGTGTGTGTGTGTGTGTGTGTGTGTGTGTGTGTGCGCGGAAATGTGGCGGTCGGAGGGGGGGTGGGAT